GAGAGAGAGAGAGGAGAGAGAGAGAGATTGAGATAGGTAGAGACAAAGAAGAAAAGAAAAAAATAGAAGCTGAAGTTGCTTGGGACTTTTTATATTTAAAATATAAATATAAAGTAAGTCTAATAAGTAGTTCTCTTAAAATTATAAGCTGAATCAAAATATAATTTTTCTATAATTTTATGCTGGAAGCTAAGATGGTGACTGCTAAAGAGGAAGGAATAGAAAATGATTCTTTGGGAGCTGTTTATTATATCAATCATTTGAAATGTAAAAGATTCACAAAGGGTTATTTTGTTACTTAATACCAAAGGAGATGTTTCTCATATAGTTTCTAAATTGCTTGCAAAGTCTCTTCTTAACTATTATAAATATATTGTTCTAGGTCCTTGGAGTGTACCACAAACTGTGATTTTTCTCTTCAGATTTGATTGTTTTACAATTTATTTGTAACAAAATTTGTTTTCCTTGTATTCTTGATACTAATTGCATGCTTGTTTTGAAAACAATTTTTAAAACATCATAAAATTTTAGTAAACCATCTTTGAATGTTTTATTTATCACAATTTAGTCTCATTTAAAAACATAATCAAACATATAAAACTGACAGATATCTATCTACCTTCCTATCTATATACACAAGTATATATATATGTGTGTGTGTGTGTGTGTGTGTGTGCGCGCACACACTAGGCTTCACAAAAATTCAGAAACATTGATACTAGTTTTCAATGAGCCCCAATGGATATAATAACAGAAAATATTCACTATTGTGCTTACATCTTAAGATAGAGAAGATATAATTGAACTTATGGGACTGCCTTTTTTTTTTCTAAAGTATGCCTATTTATCCTTGACTAAGTATTTGATAAATATATGCAATTACAAAGTAATTATCTATAAATAAATCTGCACAAGTATTTTTGAACAGGGATATAAAGAAAACAAAATACATATATTTTGATATTATATTGCATTGAATTTTTAGGGCTATAAATAAAATAAAATGCATATTTTGTGATATTATATTTATATACAATAAGCCATAATGCTTGGTAGGTCATGTTAAGTGTCATACAGGAGTTTAAAAACATCAGTTTGATACATGTCCTATATTAGGGATATTATGATATGTTTTAGGAAAGATTTAATTCTTGAATAGTATCTTAATTATGGTATGGTTTTGGCAAGTAAAAATGGAAGATACCATCTCAGGAAAAGATTGAGAACTTGATTAGCATGCTTGCTTTCCACAGGCCACAGTGTTAAATAGATGAATTTAAATATGGAGAATACTAGGAAAAGTTAGTGGGACTAATAGGTAAAATTTATATTGGTTAAAAAGTCCAAACTAAGAAAAGCACTCTATTTTTAATCAAATTGAGAGTAAATTAAGCAAAAGCTAAGGTGAAAGTTGGTATGAAAGAATAGGAACAAATGCTCTTATAAATAGCTGAGTTCAATACAAAATCTACAGAACAAAACAAAACATGAAATATTATTTCAGCATTAGCTGAAGACTGATATTAATGTCAGTGTGAAGGAGGATAAAATGTGGTAGAGAACATTCTGGTCACCAAGAGCAATTTTTTAAAAAAGCAAAGAAACAGGGAAGTTTAGGGAACAGATGCAGGGCAAAATTCTACACATTCAAAGTAAATAATATATGGCTTTGAATCTCAGACTAAAGCATTTAGATCTTCTTCAACATGAAATTATTTTCTTTTTTTTTTTTGAGAATAGAGTATTCCTGATTGGAATTTTCCTTAAGAATATTCATGTGGAATCTCTAAAAAAAAATCCAATAAAAAGATCATATATACAGTTCTTAAGAGAGAGAACAAAGTCGTATATAAAGTTGAATTAATAGTAAAGAAGACTACAGAAGACGTAATAGAATTTTGATAAATATATGTAATTACAAAGTAATTATCTAGAAATAAATCTGTGCAAGTATTTATAGATACTTGGGAAAATTAAATATAATTATTATGGAGCTAAAATATATGGTATTAAAAAAAGAGAGGAGAAACTCTTGACGATACCCATCATATAATAGTAATAATCCTCATCCTAAGAGGGAAAATAACAACAACTGGGAAAATAAAGTAACCAACTACACAACAGCAAATAACAAGATGAAAACAGACTGATGAATAGTTGAAGGGAAAACTAATGATTCTAGCATGGGACACAATAAATGCAAGTGTTGGAAGAGAATCAAGAAATAAATCTCTGAATTTGGGGGAAGTGCTGGGGAGTGATAAAGGGCAAATTCTATTTTTATATTGTGTGTAATACATGAATACATAACAACAAATCCCATCAGTATGTGCAACAAAATTGTACCAATAAAAAATGTGGAAAGAGAAAAAAACAGAAATTCATTTCTATCAAGCAATAAGGAGTGAAGAAATTAGAAACTGAGGCAGAGAACAGGACTGGGATTATTTTACATTTTTTTTCCACATAATTTTTTATTTTATATATCAAATAGTATATAAGTACTAACTAATGAACTCAATATTCTTCTTTAATCCCTCTTCTCACCACACTTAATTTCTCTCCTTAACCACTGTTACAACGGAGTCAATGTTTTTTCTTTTTTGCCTTTTCCCCAACTGTTATATTTATCTGTTTATTTCCCAGCCCTGATGTACCCAACTTTTTCATCTTCTCTGTGCCTTTTTCCGAATATAACAACAAGCTAAGGACAAGTGAGGAGAGGATAAGTGATGGTTGTTCTACTAAATGCTGTTCCTGAAGTCATCAGGTAAGAAAACACATGTAGAACAATGACAGGGGCAGTTTTTTAAAGCCAAAGTGAATTTCATAATTGTTTCCTAGAGTATTTCACATTGTTTATCTTTAGAAGAATTTTCTGTAATATAAAAGAATCTAATTTTTTAATATAAAATGTATTTTGTCAGATGGTAGTTTAAATGTTTTTGTTAAAGCATTATAATAATACATAGTATTTGGACTGCTTTTGACAAAAGTATATATACAAACAATTTGATTTCAACCCCCATTTTCCCCACCTTTTCCTTTCTTCTTCCCTCCCCCCTTTCTCCTTTCTCTACTGATTTTCTTTTCCCTCCTTTATTTATTTTTGATTAATAGTTTTTACATATACATAAAGGTGAAAGTCCCTTTGGGCTTTATATATACGTGTATGGTGTATATATATAAAGGATTTTGTTAAATTCATTACATATTTCGTCCCCTTTCCCTTCTTTCCTTCCTCCCTCCCTCCCTCTGATTCTTCTTCTACTCCACTGATCTACCTTATATCTTGATGATATCTTTTCCCCTCCCCGACTGAATTGTTCCCCTTGTTTTGCTCTAGTTTCCACATGTGAGAGAAAACATTTGACCTTGGATTTTCTGAGTCTGGTTTATTTCACTTAACAAAATTTTCCCATTTCCATCCAGTTATCAGCAAATGACATCTTCTTTTTCTTTATAGTTAAATAAAAACTCCATTGTGGATAAATAAACATATTCTTGATCCATTCATTTAGTGACAGGCATCTAAGCCAATTACAGAATTTGGATTTTGTTAATTGAGCCACTTTAAACATTATAATGACTATATCTCTGTAATATGCTAATTTCTTATTTGTTTTTAAAAAATCATTTTTATTTTCCCAAATATAAAAATATGCCTCATGTATTATCATCAATGTTAAGTGTGTATAATTAGAGCTACACATTTCTGCTTTCATAGTTTCATAGTTAAAATCAATATTTTTTGTAGGAACATTTGTGAAATTGGCTCTATTCCTCCATTTTGAATATTTAGATCTGGAACACTAGTAGTCTATGAACTGAGAAGTAGAAAAATAGGTTCAAATGAATAATCTAGTGAGCAAAATTCTTAAATAACTTTTTGTAATTAATTAATTTATATATTTTTTAATGGTGGGGTTGAACTCAGGGCCTGGCACACATTAGGAAACCACTCTACCACTGAACATTCCAAGCCCACAATTTCTCTTTTAAATATATCCATTTCCACTGCATTTCTAGCCTGTTGTGGTTATGTGTGTTGATTAAAAGGTATGTTTCTGTGCATTTCTATGTGTGTGACAAAAAGTTGGATGGTTCCTTGGCTTTTCCTCCCTTTGGCTTCTAATCCCTTCTGTTTTAGTGAGTTTGGAATGTATTCTTCAATCTCTTACTATCCTGATAATTATATGTGATGATCTTTGCTCCACAAAGATACAACTTATTTTTTGGATGCACAATCCATTGTATGAAAAGCAATGGATGTTTTTGCTTCTTGTAAATTGAGAATCCCAAAGATTTCAGTTGAAAGATTCAACAATGCTAGTCCTTACTTATAAGTCACCATCAGTGCTTATGTGTGATAGAGTCAAAGACATTTTAATGAAGTAAAAAATGAAGTTAGCTTGAAGTGAAAAATTCAAGCCTACCCATCCCCTTTAATTGTAACTTGAAACTATGATTCCAAGTTTATTTGCTGATATAAATTCCCCAAATAAATTATTGCAGTGGGTTAGTGTCAAGTAGGAGGGGTTTCATTACATTACAGGCTAAAAGAAGAAGGGACTGCAGCATTAATACCAACCTTTCCATTTATGTTTAGAAATGGACTTCTAGTCTGACTAATCCCATCATGTTACTTGATTCTGATTCTTTAAGATACTTCTTGCCTCCAAGTTTAGAAGCTTATAGTTAAAACAGGAAATAACTTATATGCAAGAGGTAAGTGCTCTTCAGAAGACTTGAAAATAATGGCATCAATTTTAGAGTGCCTGTGAAATCCTGGACCACTCTTTATAGATAACCTAGTGTTCCCTGAGGACTGTTGTAACAGTTTCGAGATATAAAGCTCCCATCCTACAAAATATATAATTCTAGCCAATTTAAGGCACAACAAATAAACGATTATCCTTAGAAAAGTTATGATTGCTCTGTTCCCAGAATGACAGATTTTTTTTTTTTTTTGCACTAAGGTAAAAATATGCAAAGTTAGGACAAATGCTTGAACTAATCTCTCAGGACTTTCTGCAGAAGTAAAGCAATCATCCAAGCTTCTATATCTCACATCACTTTGCTTTGGTAGACACAGAATATTAATTCCTGTTTAAAAGATCAGGAAATCTGTAAGCAAGTTTAACCATCTGTTATAGATAGTAACTATACAATCTCTAGGATGTATTTAATAATTATCATTCTTCTGTAAGTATTTTTAAGTTATTAGAACATTTTTAGCTTCTGAAATTCTCCTTCAACTAAGGTATATTGAGGAATGTTTTCATAATTTTTAACCTGGGGGTCTAAATTTTTCAGAATCTGCTATTTTATTAATCTGTGCATATTATGAAACAAATTGATACCATATCAAATGTATTTTCAAGCATCCTAATCAATCAGAAGCTTGCAAACCATTGAGCACAAAGTAAGTTGTGAAGATGGAATCCTGTTTTCCACATAAGAGTTGGATTACAACCTATTACTTCCCTACCATAAAACAGTACTAATTAGCCTTATGAAGATGTAATGCTTAGGTTAACACTTTGTTACCATTACACAACTGCTTGAGCTCCACAACTTGTTTCCTTTTAAATATTAAAATCAATATTCTCTGGAAAGAAATAGTAAAGTGCACATCATTTGACTAATAGCTGGTGAATGAAATGCTCCATATAAGTAAAAACTGAAGATACTTGAAATTTAAAACTTTAAAATTGTAATAAACATTTGGATGAAATCCTTCTTAAAGGATCAAATTTTTCTGCATTATTAAACAAAACATTCTCTGTGGTACTCAACTTTATTTTCTGGAGCAAAGATCACTTCAGTTTTAACACATTTTAGTAAAGGGTGGTTTTAGAAGAACTAAAGGGATTAAGACTTGACATGCTTTTTCCTTGAATATTTCTAAGACCCGGTTTTATAATCATGTGCTTAGTGCAACAATTTCAAATCTTTTATGGTGTGACTTATAATTAAAACCAGCATATTTGGCAGACTTACATACTACACACATACGTATACACAAGAAAAACTTGTTTTTGCTTAAGCCTGTGACATTTTTCTTTACTCTTCTTTGCCTTGTTCTCTATAATTTTCATTCCTCATCTATTATTTTCTAACTGCTTTTGGTTTTTTAAAAGGTCTCATATAAATTCATTTTGTGATTCATTAATAAGCCACAACTTGCAATTTAAAACACTACATTAGTGACCTGCAGAAAGAGCTACTATTTTCTGTGGGTGTTCTTGTCCCTCACTGTAAGGCTATTATATGTTCACTGCTGCTTCTCTAATATCATGTCACTATCTTCATCCCTGTACTTGCAGTTTTGAGTGGCAGTGCTTAAATCCATCTCTCCTCACATTTCAGTAAATTTTGCAGGCCACAAGTCACTGTAGGTGTTGCTCTATTTTTCCTGCCTTTTACAAAATTGTATTTCTCCCTCTTCTTTTTCTTTTCAATAGGCATCTCAGATATTTCTGATAATCTGAATTTGTAAGAGTCGGGCTTTAAGGCCCTCATCAATCTCAAAGATATCCTATTTTGGAGCCATTCAAAAATGTTCTTATTTCCCACAATGGAATATTGTTTTCTGTTTAAATGTATTTTTCCAACTTTAAAGTTTAGAGGCTACTGCATGTTTTATGATATGTCTTAATTGAGAGTATGTATGGTGTATATATGTAAAAACTGTGTAACATAAGAAAATTTATTTTAGGTAGTTTCTTTGAATAGTAGATTTCCAGTGAATAAGAATTTTCTAAGTTGTATATTTCATTGAAATAATATCACATCTCTACACTGATTCTGAATTAATTTTGTTTTAAACATTTTATTCCCTCCGTATATTTATGCAGAAGTGACAATCAAAAAATTTTACTGTTGGTATTATAGGCACAGATAATTCACATTTAGTAAATTGTACTGGTGACTACCAGATAAATATAAGCTTCAAATTTATGACATGTAGTATAGAAAAAAAAATTGCACAGAGAAAAAATACAATTGAATAATACTTGTGGAAGAATAGACCAACATTTCTTTAGTAAATCATTCTTTTAAACTACAGATTTTTTTTTTTTTAACCTAGAAGTCAAAAGATACCTATCCTGGCAGTCTAGTCAAAGTATATGACAGCCTCATTCCACAAAGGTGTCTTAAATATACTGGAACATCTTTGTAAGGTTTCCTGCTGAACATTTACATAATCCCTCAAAATAATTGGTTTTTTGTTGCAAGAAAACTGCTTACCTGGAAATGTTCAAGAAGTACATTTTCTCTATGGGTCTATAATCGTGGTTCTGCAAGCTCTTATGGGACTTTCATAAGACATTGGAACATTTAATTGAAAATGATTGAGTGCCCAACACACCACAGATGCCCAGCCTAAATAACAGCAGTAGAGATTACTGAGAGTCAGCTTCTTGTTTCAAAAACAAAACCAAATATATTCAGTCTCATTTCCAAGATAACCACTTGTGTGTTTCCAGAGAGTCAATGTGTGATTAAATTTTCAAGCCATGAGATGGAAGCAAAAGACCATATGGGCTTCAGAAAAGAAACTCATATGGGAAGGACATCACATGAATGTATTTTTCTAATTATGGAAATTTGGAACTCCCACTATGATTTCCTAATATTTTACCTTTGAAAACAAAATAGAAAAAATGACTCTATTGCCTTTAATTTTTAATTAATTAGTTATGACAATTTTACATCTCTCTAGATATGAAATCACAGAGTAAAAAAAGAAAAAATGCTCTGGAACTTCTATTACCAATGACTTCTGGTACAAGACTATCTATATGATAAAGACACCTTAATAATGTTTAGTCTGTTAATTATTTTGGTAATATGTATTATACTTAAAAAGACGTGCTCTTGAGGAGTGTTTTTTTTTTTAACTTTTCCCTTACTTTACTTATCCTCTAAGACTTTCCATTGTATTATATTGAATTGGGACTCTAATTGAGTAATAGTGCTTTGTCATTGTAATCTGCAGTCTTAACATAAAATTAAAAATGTAACATAATCTACTTTTAAAGCAAATTAATTCAACAGTTAATTATTATTATTACTAATCTAAACATAAAGTCTAGGCAGAAACTACTGAGAAAGGTTTAGGTCCACTTAGAAACTCTTTAGGTAATATTGTGAGAAGCTAATGATGGTGTGGATTTAAATAACTGCTGTATTTTACAACTATTTGATTGAAATTTGCACTTTTCTTTCAGTTTTTGAAAACTATCTAACTCATGCCAATTTCACTGAGTTTTTGTGAAAATCAATGTGATAGAACTGAAAATACTGAGCAAGCAAGACTATATAATATATAATCATCAGTATTGTTAATTTAAAAAGAAATCTTGTTTGTAATCTCAATTCTACTATTAATCAAGTGGGTGCCTGTAAATAGTCACATGACCTCCAAAAGACTTATTTTTCTTTATCCACAAATGGATATTATAGCAGCTTTTGTAAACCTTTAACACAAGGCAGTTGTACAGTTTAAATATGACAATTAAGAATGAAAAAACTTATAAAATTATGAAAAAACAAGATCTTATATACCACAGAGCCTGGATTATAAACCATTCATGATACTGGCCATGCTTAATTTGGGATAAGGCCTTCTAGATTTTCTGCATGTTATTCCTTGTCAAAACTCGCTAACTGGTTACTAGTCTCTTCAATCCCAATAGTTCCGGTTTGTTGTGGAAACAAAACTCATTCTTTACTACTTAAAGTCCTGTCCAATTGCCCCAAAGATTTTTTTTTCTACCACATCACTAAGATACATTAGTAAAGGGGCTGTTTCTGTGGCATGGAATTTGCCAGTCTCTCATTTTTATGTATTTTACACTTTACCCAAGTAAGGATTCATGACTTTTTCTCTATTTTCTGAAGATTATAATTATTATTTGAATTAAAGTATAGCCTAAGACTGGACCAGTGGTGCACTCCAGTAATCCCAGTAGCTAGGGAGGTTAAAGAAGAAAGATCACAAGTTCAAAGCCAGCCTTAGGAACCTATCAAGAACCTGTCTCAAAAAAAAAAAAAAAAGGCTCAATGATTAAGGACTCCTGGGTTCAAACCCAGTAGCAAAAATAAATACATAACTTTAAAAAAAAGCGCAGTTTCTGTATGTTTTACCTTGACTTCAATCTGGGTTTCTTTGCTGTTCAAACATGCTTTTAATAGTTCAAAACATTGTTTGAGAATGTGTTTATTCTGTTTGGAATCTTGAATTCCAGAGCCTGGGAACATAATTGAGATAATAACTGCATTTCCAGAGTTGCTATAGGAGCCCTATATTAGCGTATGGATTAAATATGTTTATGACTTCTGAGTCCGAAAATTGCTGAGATATACTCATATAATTCCTTGACTAAATAATAATTTACTATTATCCTATGGATACTGTTTATTAAAAAATTACTTGGAAGTGGAAATATCATACATATGGCCATTAATCTTTAATTTGTTTACTAAATTTCAAATTCTTCATTTTAGGGATAAAAATTACATTTTGTGTAAGATTGAAACCTAGTGTAAATAATGGACTTTAATGTTATAATAATGGGCCAGTGTAGATTCATCCATATAACAAATGTGCCAATCAGGCATGGGACATGGATCATGAGGGAGGCAATGCATGTGTGGGGAGAGGGGATACACAGGAACTGCTCAATTTTGCTGTGAACTTAAAATTACTAAAATACCAAAATGTATTAATTTAAAAATTACTTAATGTGCTCAAGTGACTTGCTCAAAACCACTGAGGACATAGATTATACTCTTATAATCCCAATTCAGGTCTAAATTTCTCTTTCTATACCATAAAACATTTTGTGCCCCAGAGTACAACAGCTTAGGCATACTGTCTTATTTTTAGTTATCGGCGGGCACAACATCTTTGTTTGTATGTGGTGCTGAGGATCGAACCTGGGCCGCATGCATGCCAGGCCAGCACGCTACCGCTTGAGCCACATCCCCAGCACCCATACTGTCTTAACTTAAACATAGACTTTAATGGTTAATTAGAAAGCTTTCCATAGCAGGAAAGAGATAGATAATCTTTAATAACATATTTCATATATCACATAAAATTATGTGAATTGCTATTATCATTGATCTACATTGTTATTTCAAAATCATATTTTTTCCTATTTTAGTGAATTCGCTCTGGATGATAACTTGCCTTTATTAACTTCTGGAATGTTTTGCCATTTCTTCTGACTAATTGCATTGCATGACAACAAATAATCTGTGATTTGTAAAAAGGTATGTTAGGATGAGAAAACTGGTTTGATTTAAAAGTGCATTGCCTTAATTTTTGTCTTTTTAAATGTATTATGTTGAAAGGATAATGAATTAATATGTACACATCAAATTTTATCCTCAATTCTTATCATTTCCAAAATGGATATATAATTGTTCCTTTACAACACCTCACTAGCTGCTATGTGGTATGTGATCTGTCTTCCTAAAGATTAAAATCTTTCTTCTTATACAGATTAGGAATGTTCTTTGCAGTGCAGTTGTACATACTAGATCTATGACAAGAAAAAAAGAAAAATTGTGGTAACCAGAAGGTAAAATATTAAATACAATATAAACACTGTGCTGTATATACAGAAAAATTTATCAAATCCTATAATTATTTTCTTTTGGAAAATAAATGCCAAATACACACTTATTCAACTGAAAACGTCCCATTGCTCTTTGGAAGTAAATTCATAAATAGTTAAACACAGAATTAAAATGAATGATGAATCTTAGTCATAGCTTGTGGGGGACAACCCCACATCATTTAAGGTCATGACTTTAATGTAATATCAAGGTTTTTTATTTTTTTTTTCCTCCTTCCACTTTTATAAAAGGAGAATGCTGTTGCCTGAAAGCTGTCTGGGAATTCAGCCAAAGAAAGAAGAGGGTTGCAAAAACTCTGGGGACTTAAAAGAAAAGTGGCTGGCATTAGCTTGGTCCTCACTTTAAACTAAAATTAAAACAATAGACAGACATGTACAGTAATCTCTCTTTTAAGGAAAGAATAGAATGGCTCTATAGTAGTGTCAAGTGGAACAATTTGGTTCGGGCCCAAGTTATGCAGCTGTTCCACAGGAAAATGGCAAAAGGCTTCAGTCCAAAGCAGGCAAATAAGGCATGATTGTTCATAAATAGTCACTGGGGCCCTCACATTTAGAACAAGGAAAACAACATTAGCATGCAGCAGGGCAGCCTACAACATGAGTCTCAATACAACTTGGGCCACGCCATCATTTTATGATTTGCACAAAAGATAATGGTGTTATTTTGTCTGCTAACAATAAACTTAATAATGATTAATAACTCATTCTTCAAGAATCCATATGTTGAACAAACATCTTGTTTTGAGAAACAATTAAGGTTTGGTCATGGATTAAAGATATTATTTAAGTTAGCTAGAAGATGTAAAGAAATCATATCCATTCTACATTTCTGACTTGCTCGTTAGAGGTGGAGGAGGTAAACGGTTAACGGTGATAGAAATTAAATGTCTGGGGAGACAATTGAACTGAGCCATAGTGCTGCTTCTCAGTGGTGCCAAAATAACAAAATGGGGAACCAGGTGCAATAGCTGCAATGTAATGGAGCGGAACTTTGGCAGTGATCACCAGAGTGAACAGGCAATTCTAACCTGCCTATTGGATACATGTGATATCACAAACTTCATTTTCCTCTCTTTTCTTTGATTCTATCTTAAAATATGAGCAGCCTCCCTACTATGCTTTCAAATTATATTTTAATTTTAAATTTCAGTTTTCAAAGTTTTCTTCTTTCCTTTTCCACTTTTTATTAATCATTTTCTGAAGGAGATAGCTTTCTCATTAGTGATTCTGTTCCTTCTCCACTACCTATAAACTCCTTGATTAATCCATTTCAATTTACCTTCTGTTCCATTTTCTCTAATGAGAGTATTTTCTTTATGATCAGTAAGACTTCCTTCTGAGAAAATCCAATGTTTTATGTTTAGTCTTCCCTTCTTTTTTGACCTACCTGCCTCATGTGGCACTGTTGGAGATAGAAAATAAACTGCAGAGAGGCTACAAGGTAAATTGTTTTAAAAGAGGTTAATTTCATTCATTTATTGGAAATGATAGTGACTTTGAAAATGGAGGTGAGTTGATTTCAAGAAAATTAGGAAAAGCAAAAAAATCAGCGGTCTAAAAGAAGTAGGGAATCAGTGAGGTTGACTGTAACTTTACTGTAAATGGCTTGGCAGCCTACATGTAAGCAAAATGAAAAGGAAAAAATGGAAATGAGAATATAATACAAGGAAATATGTTAATTTAAATTTCTCTTGGATTATAACATATAGGTTATAACACTGGAATCTCTAAGTAAAGGTCAAAATATAATAACTATTTTCAGCACTAATGGAGTGTATGGATTAATTGCTCAAAGAAACTGTATTAGTTAAGGCTTTTTATATGGGAATATACTCATGCCAGAAATGGTCACTTGAGTAGAAATTTGCAAATGTTTACAAAGAGTATAAATAAAGAAGAATTCATGATAAGTATGGCGACAGTGAAATATATGAGACTGAGCTGGGGATGTGGCTCAAGCCGGTAGCACACTCGCCTGGCATGCGCGGGGTGCTGGGTTCCATCCTCAGCACCACATAAAAATAAAATAAAGATGTTGTGTCCACCAAAAACTAAAAAATAAATATTAAAAAATTCTCTCTCTCTCTCTCTCTCTCTAAAATATGACTAACAAGTTCTTCACTGTAAAGCATCGGAGTTCTAATTTCAGTGCTGAAAATAATTGTGAGCCTCATCCTAGATTCTGGTATGGCCAACTAGGTGGCAATTTAGTCTCAGCAGTTGAAGTAGTAGCAAATAATTGAAAGAGTATAAACTTTGGGCAAGACTTAACTAAGAGTAAGTCTTGGATCAGCAATCTTAAATCTGCATGAATAACGAAAATTTGAATAACACTTTCAAGACTTAGTTTTCACTTCTGTAAAATAGGAAGCTTTTCTATTTGCTTTTTCTTTTTAAAAAGTGAGACTAATCAGGATCATCTGAGGAAAGTCATATTTTCTATTTCTTAAATAAGATATTTTATATTTCATATTCATCTGCAATTCAGAGGATTATTATATATCACAGTTTATTTCTAGCTAACTGAAACTCAGACGCAAAATATGGCACCTCTATTCAATTGTATCTGCCATGAGTGGCATGGACTACTTAAAAATATAATTTCACAAACCTCATAATCTAACTATTCTCATAAATAAAATGATTTTGCTCTTGTTGGGAGTGGGTATGACATCAGAGAACAGAGAGAAAATTGGATTCTAGTTGAACATCAAAAACTTATTCTTAAAAATCTCAGCTCATATAACTGCATGCATTGAATATACTCAAGTATACACATATGCACTTTTGGAGAAAACTAAAGAAAAATAAAAGAATCAAAACAAAATTGTGTGCTTTGTCCTTATCCTCCCATGTTCCTTCAGATCTCCAAATGAGAGTCCCTGTGATTGTCAGAAGAAAGAGAAAAAAAAAAAGAAGAGAGGAGAGGAAAAAACAAAGTTAGAAAATAACAGAAAGAATCAAGAGTTGAGATGGAAAGAACTATTGAGATATAGGTTTTTTTTGATAATGAATATACAGAAACAGAGAAATTTGGGGGTTAATTATGTCTAAAGCTGACTGAAGTCCATTATGCATTTTTTCCTAAAGTACTGAATTTTTAGCCAAAAAATTCTTGTTGAAGCTGTAAAGCTGAAATGTACTACTCACATATGAATAGCATATTGTAGCCAAAAATGCTTTCTGTAAGCATCTTAAGCTTCTCGGAGGTTAGAATTATAAAAGTGAATTGAGCAGGCTATGTAGCCAAGTTACTATGAAAAACCAAATTTCCTTTTGAAGTATAAAATGACTTTCAATATATTTTAAAAGATAGAAAAATAATACATTAACCATAAACTGTTCCTGAAATCAATGTCTTTGTATCTCTGAGAAATAATTATTGAAGAAAAATAATATTAAGATATCAAATTTATGATAAAGAAGGCACTAATTCACTGAAAATGGTAAAAAAAAATATAATAATATACAAAAGGAGAAGTTAAAATATTAGGCTTCTACCTTACAATTTTTTTATTTGTCCTTTTTCTGTTTTACAATTTTTTAAGAAAGATTTCTCATGGGATAATATGATACCTACATTGAAAGAAATCATATTATTGAAAGCAAATTTTTAATAATTTAACCTAATTTGCACAAAAGCTATCTCATGCAGTTATATACAGAGTACAACTGAATTCCTTTTATTAAAATTTAAAGAGAATGTAAATCAATTGTAAACATTTTAAAAATGAAGCAAAAAGGTATGCCTAGACTATTATTATATTAGAATAGTCATAGTATTAAATGATTTATATTTAAAAAAATCATATTTAAGTATCATTTAAAACAATAGGGATCCTATTAGTTAGCTGTTTATAAACATTAACACCACAAAGTAAAGTTTAGAGTTGAGGTGACATTAGCATACATCTATCTATTCTAATAAAGAAATGACTTTATAACTGACAGCATTGAGCTTCTGATCCTTTGGATTCACAATAACCAAGCTTATCTCATTCACAAATTATGTCTCATTGGGAGCTACAAAAGGAAAATACATTTAAAGTTTCTTATTTCAAAAATGATTTTCCATTTAAAACCTGAGTGTATTTGCAGATGCTTCCATATTTTCTTTTTTGTTTGGGTGAACTAAGTTCAGCAATGTCTAACTTTTTATTTTTAATCTAATGATATAAAGAGTGACTGATTGAGTCCACAATCCTTTCAGGTTGAACTATCTTACTATAATAAAAAAATAAAGAGAGAGAAAGAGAAGAGAGGCAGGGGAGGGGATCACAGCTGGAAACCTTCCCAGAAACTTCACTAGATGACAAAGTAAAAACCAATCTTCTACAGACACTTAATGAAGACATGGTTCAGGGGGTTTTCTGTTCTAGAGATCACTTTGCCCACTAAGAAAAGATAAACACAGTGGATTTCTACAGTTAAACCCTGCAATCAAAGGAGGATAAAAGAAAAAGTGAAAAACTTTATTGCTCATTAAATCACTTACAGTGGTTTTCCTTTGGATTCACAAGTCAAAATTAAAGGCTGTCCTTCTTGTGGAAAAGGAGTAGATGGTATAATCTTAACTGATGGTGTATCTAGGAAGAATGAAATATTAAGGAAGATATTAAACACACATGACAAAGGATTTAATAACTGCATTATCTGCATGTTCAGCATTTATAATATTTCTTAAAATTGCACTTATAAGAGATTGCTTAGATTTGATGAAGTATAGTATGTAATTTTAAGAAGCTTGTTTCTTGTCAGCGCAAATCTAACAAAAATATCTGAATATCTTAAGAGCACCACTGAAATCTGAATTTAAAAGTGAGATTGCAAAAAGTGGTTCAGAGGAATATCAAGCATTTTATACAATTGTTTCTTCAACTATTTATAGATGGCTATGAATACTATTATTATGGACTGAATGCATTTATGTGCATTTGAATAACAACACTTTCATTGTTGCAGGAATACCAGGGACTCACAATAAAGAACCCCCAATGAACACAAGATGAACTACTTTCTCAGAAGCATTATGGAGAATCTCTTTGAAAACTCAGTAATGCAGCACTGAGCACATGCTGCTAGCACTGAAGTACAGTTGGCAAATTAATTTAAAAAGCTATGTATAATATTACTAAAAGTTAACAATTTGTTTTATATGCTACAACAAAATTTTTAGAAAATTATTTCTCCTTAAGAATAAAATCATCCCAGTGGAAGAAATCAAGAATACCCTAAAATATTTAAGATATACATATACATATATATATACATATATGTATATATATATATATGAAAATGTTTTATTTATACAATAAAAATGTAAATGGAAAATACAATTTAAAAAACACAGACAATGGAAACACATTTCTTTCTTTCTTTCTTATTTTTTTTTTCAGTGCTGAGTGTTGAACTCAGTTCCCTACACATGCTAGGTAAGTGCTACCACTGAGTTACTGCCCCAGCCCACACACTTCACACTCATTTCTTTATAGTATTTTGTTGGTTCTGGCATTGTTTTACCAATAGTCAATTGCTTTCCCGTTTTCTTTCCATATTGTGTATCCATATTGTGTACATTGAACAAAATAGACTATGACTGCTCCTAATAATCACAATTATTCTCACTGTGTCCTTAGTTTTAATGAAAGAATAGAATGGAGCTAGCATTATATTAACTCTCAGACTTTTAAACTCATGAAATAAGTATCAATTGTGTAATTTTCAGAAATGTCGTGTATAAAACAAGCTACAATCTTGTGGTTGAACTTATGTCATCTTTTGAAATTATTTGTGCTTGATATGCATTCTTTCTTAATCTTTTAAGGAACAAAAATCTCATTTAAAGTACTCAAAAATCTTATCCTGGTTACAAAAATACCATATATATGTTATCATGAATAATTGTGATAGATGAGAGTCTCCAGAGAAAAAAATAATAGAAGAAATATGACATATTTCTCCACCAAGTATAAGACAATACACACGTTTTTCTGTCTTTGGATTTACTATAGTTTAGATCTAAAATATTCCCCAAAGGTTCATGTATTAAAGACATGTTTGCTAGCATGTGGCACTATTGGAAGGCTGTGGAACCTTTAAAAGGTAGAGCATAGGCAATGACCTAACTCCTTTCTACTATGTGTGCCCTTACAGGCGATCTGTGGAATATGGTCCTTTCTTGCCTTTCTCTTTGCTTCCTACCTACCAAGAGTTAAATAATCTTCCTCTATTATGTGGTCTCAACATGTACTCCCACCATACACTATTTTAACAAAAAGAATCTGAAGCATGTGGAGAGGGTTTGTCATCTTAGTAGGCACTAAGATGACATAACTCTGCCTGTTTAAGTAGTTTATTAGAGGAGAGGATTTTTATAACAATGATCTCTTGAAGTATGATTCAGCATTCCCTTTAGATTTACCATACAGAATCTCAATTATAAGAAAATGCCAAAGCAGATAATACACTAAGCAAGTATTTCTAAAAAACTCACAAGAATAAACCAAATAACCTTCAAGTTAACAAAAACTAAGGAACATAATACAATACTCTTATTATTTGACTTCAAATTATTAAAAATATTGATTGGTTTTATTTTTCTAAATGAATATGAAAACTGAAAAAGTCATTGAATGTAAACATGTTTTAAAAATGGAGATAAAATCTTAAAGAAGTCTTTCTTGACTTTCTTTGACAGTTCTCCCCCTTACACAAAATCTCACACAAATACATACATACAGATGCATACACACGCGTACACACACAATACTGTTATATATCTCTGGCTAATCTTTTCTTTATTATTCTAATTGTTTTTTTTATATTTAGCCTTTAAAATTTTGAGATCAGGAAAAATATGATTCAGAATCTGTTCTCACATAACTTTCTTTCTGGTCTATCAGCCACACCTATATCTACCTATTAATCACTCACAGATTTAGACCCCAGAGAAATTCTTTTCTATGAGCTACACTACCCCTTATATTTAGCATGTCCACTTGGATATATTAAAGACATGGCATATTTGATATGCCTAAAATGAACTCAAAGCCCCCAGCCTTCCCTTTGTCATGTCTCTCTTCCAGCAAGTATTAGTTTGATAAAATACCATCAGATGTCTCTTGTTCCTGTATCATTTCTATAACCAATTAATCAACAATTTGTTTTCTATAATTTATCCATAAAATCCAGTTGATCTATCTCCTACATAATTTTCATATCCACACATTTTTTATACCTCCAAAATCATTTTTTGGTCCAGTTTACCAAAACAGTATTTGCCAAAATGGTATCCTTTGCAACAGTATTATGCCCATCTTAATCTTACTGTAAAACTAAACAAAACTATCTTCTCAAAACAAGAATCTTATCACACAATTTTTTTTCTTTTCTTTTTTACCTTTTTAGTGTTTTGCACTATTGACAATTGAAACCTAAACCTTGTGCATGCTAGGCAAACATTTTACCATTGAGCTACATTCAAGCCCACATCAACATTTTTATAAAAACCTCACATATTAATCTCTGCTGTCAGGATAAAAGGAAAAATTATTAAATTATTTAAGTCTTTCATGATCTGTGTCTTTCTTTAATTTCTTGTCCTTTAACTTTCTATTTCATCCTTTGAATTGCATGCAATTATGCTTTCTTCCAGATTCTTTAAAGAATGTTTCATCTTGACTTGATATAAAATGTCAGAAATGCTACATTTTGGGAGGATTTTAACTCTTACATATTTTTCAAATCTTAAATGGCATATGCTAAGGGTAATTATCAGTTACCCTCTAATTTTTTCAGATGCATCTGCTACATATTATTCATCCTTATGTATTTTTTAAGTCATAGATATATCTTGTGTTTTGCATAGTGCTTTATATTAAGTTTATGCTTAGTAAATAATTACTAAATGTTTTAGACACCTTTTTGCTGCTATGACTAAAAGAACTGACAAGAACAATTTTAGAGGAGGAAAAGTTTATATGGGGTTCACTACAAACTAGAAGAAAACCTACAAATAATTTAAGAAATAAGACACATTAGCAAAGGATGGTGGAATATGATGGGCATCATTATCCAAAGTACATGTATGAAGATATGAATTGGGTGTCGATATACTTTATATACAAACAGAGATATGAAAAATTGTGGTATATATATGTAATAAGAATTGTAATGCAAAAATAACAGAAAACAAAGTACATGTATAAAGACATGAATTGATGTGAAAATACTCTATATACAAAGATATGAAAAATTGTGCTCTATATACGTAATAAGAATTGTAATGCATTCCACTGTTGTGTATTTAAAAAAATAAAATCAATTAAAAAAAAGAAATACAGACACAGAAAAAAATAAACTAAAAAATATTAATAGATGACTTGGCAGTGGAAAAATCGAATTAAATAGTACTTAATTTCTCATTTTTATTCATATCTGGATTAGTAAAAAGACCAATAGTAAATGTATACATTTGTTTATTTTATAAAATCAGTATCATAAAAATCTATTGTGTAGCATGCCTTTCCTGAAAACATCCATTCATTTTAATATGCAAAAAATAAATAATATAAAAAATATGTTTAGATGTGGTTTTCACTTACTAAAAGAAATATTTTGGAGAAATTGTTACAAGTAAATAATATTTATATTCTTTTACCCTAACATGCCTTTTATAGTAAAAAAGAGCATATATATATATATATATATATATATACATACATACATATATATATTTTAGAATTTATATATAATTTATATAGTCATATATAATTTATAATTTATATAGTTATATATAACTATATAAATTATAGTTATATATATATAATTCTTGTTCTATATAAGAATTTATATAGTTATATGTAATAATAACCTGATACTTCTTGTCAACTCCCTAATGGATACAATATAATACTTATAAGAATAAAATAAAAATAATTACAGGTTTTTGTCATTAAGTAAAAATTGGTCAGAATACAAATGACTTCCTGTTATTAAAAAATATTTGATAGTAAATTCAGAACAGTAATCATACTTCTATTGAATCTGACATGTTACTAATGTAATTTTGTGTGCATTGCTATGAACATGTATAAATAGGAATTACTGACATTTTATGGTCATCAAATCTAGCATTTTGACATAATACTTCAATAAATCTGTTCAAAATTGAGTGTTTCTCCTGCCAAGACCAGATGATGAGAGAAAAATAGTGTATGTATGTAGTGCTTATATTAAAAAAGACATTCCCACTTTAAATCATTTTAAAATTATTATCTGAGGATATCTAAGGCAGAAAATTTGTAACAGGAAGACAATTAGCAGTATACATTTAATTAATGTAAATGTGAGCTAAGATTAAAAGTTAATCTAAGGTTTGTGACATGAGTATTTAAGAGCAATTATCTGTGCAGCAGGCACCAACAAAATTTTGATTAAGGATTTTAAAAAATATTTTATAATTTGTACCAAATTTATACTAAGATGCATCAGAAATTTTATTGCTTTTGTTTATTTAGTGTTATGGTTTACATGTGAGTTGTCCCCCAAAAGCTGATGTGGTGAAATGTTCCTAGGAGAAATGATTGGGTTATGAGAGCCTTAACCCAATCAATTAATTAATCCCCTGATGGGGATTAACAGGGTGGTAACTGAAGGAGGGTAGGGTATGACTAGAGGAGGTAGCTCCCTGGGGATGTGCTTTTGGGGTATATATTGTATCTGGCAAGTAGAGTCTCTTTTCTTTCTGATCATTATGTGAGCTGCTTCTATCCTCCACACTCTTCAGCCATGATGTTGTCTCACCTTGAGCCTCAAGGAATGGAGCTAGCTGTCTATGAACAGTCTTATTTCTTAAATTATTTGTAGGTTTTCTTCTAGGTTGTAGTTTTTCATTACAAATATATTTCAAAGCATTGGGAATATTGCTTAAACAGATTACTTAAATAGTAATTCCAGACTGCTATGGAAGTAATTCCTCTATTTCACTCTCTAGAAGCAACATGAATTAATTCTACTATACTTCTTTACAAACCAGAATAATGTTCTTGCTTCAGTACTTTGGGGATGCAAACAATGTCCTGTTTCTAAGCTGCTCATATAATGAGTTACCATGAGTTATAACAACTAGTGATACTTTTTTTTAGAAGGGTTAGAAAAAAATACATTATATTGCTGCTATGTCTTTACTCTAACTTTGTCCTATACATGAAGCCCTTATTTAAC